TATAATTACAGAAATAGCTAGTGTGATAGAAATAAATAAATAGCTCATAGATCTCATTTTGTCTAATAAAAATTTGAATCATTTGGTCTGTTTAATTTTACAGAGCAATTTATAATATAGCCCAAAATTGTTTTTATCCAAGAATAATTTTGTACTCAAGGGTAAAATTATTTCAATCTCGTCTGAAACTCTTTTTGTTCAAAAACAATATATTGATCATGAATAGAGATAATATCAAAACGTCAAAAATTCTATCGTAAAAAGTCATAAGAAGTGGATGCATATCAAATTTGCCAATAAGAAGTTTTGCTCATAGGTAAAAATATAACCAATTTGTAAAACTATTTTTTGTCCCATATTAACATCTCCTCAAAAACTCTTTGTTCCAACAATAATTTAAGTAAAAATAATTTAAGTTTTTAGGCTAATGATTCAACATTAACTTCAAAAAAGACTATAATAAATGAAATTGAATCAGCTAGGTATAAGTTCCTAGACTCATGGTTCTACTCAACTAATTTATGAAAAACTCAAGATATAAAAATTGAATCAGCTAAGTTTATGTTGCTAGAGTGCTGATTCTATTAACTAGTGAAAAATATTACAAAAATTAGTTGTAGTTGGTAATTAGTAACAGTTGATAATTTCTGCAGAAGAAGATGAGAAAGGATGGTCGAATCACCTAATCTATTAAAAGCAATAAATGTGAACGTCTCGACCATCTTAGAAATATACAAAAAACTGATATCAAAGTAATTATAAAAAAATCTTATTAGAATGAGCGATTCGCCACGATCTCTTCAAAACTCTTCGCCCAACAATAATTTAATGCCCATAGGTAGAGTCTTTATCATCTGCTTAAAGACTCTTGGTCCAATTTGATTGTTATTTATAACATAGGAAGGATGCAGTTATAGTTAGTAAGATTGTTAATTGAATAATTGTTTTAACTCATTGCGTTACAGTGTTGACTTCTGACCCGGGCACAAAAGCAAATGAGTTATTACGCCCGCACGAACCATCTCATCTTGGCTACTTCAGCACTTGTCTTAATTGATAATGTAGCCGGAGGACTTCGTGAGCCACATTAAAAATTACATGCTCGTCTCAAGACCGGATAGGAAATATTCATTAAATATTAAGTGTCTATGGGAAAAGTTTAATGATATACGAGTTCTTAGATTGTTTGTCTATTCCACAAAAAAATGAACTAGAGGTGAATGGCACGATGCCTTCAGGCAAATTGCTGGGACTTCCTGTAATGTAAATAAAAATGTTCAGAAAATAAAAATTATATTTTTTTGAGAATTTTTAACTTTTTTTGAACAATTTTGAAATTTTGAAAGCATTTAAAAAATTTGAACATTGAAAAACTTCTCGATCTTGATTTGGATTTTCTTGCGCAAATAATACAGTTTTTAACTATATTTTTTGTAACCTTTATTAAAGTACTAATCCTTAATGCCAGAAGTCGACGATGGTAAGTTAGTAACTAACTAATGTTTTATTGTCTTACTACGTTGACTTCTTGATCTTGATTTTGATCTCCTTGCGCAAATAATACAGTTTTTAATTATATTTCTTGTAACTTTTATTAAAGTACTAATCCTTAATGCCAGAAGTTAACGATGGTTAGTTAGTAACTAACTAATGTTTTATTGTCCCACAACGTTGACTTCTTGATCTTGTTTTTGATCTTCTTGCGCAAATAATACAGTTCTTAATTATATTTCTTCTTCTATTTTTTATTCAAGTCCTAATCCTTAATGCCAGAAGTCAACGATCCCATCGATTCGCGTTGCACTTTTGTGAGATAAATTTATCGTCGGTGATTTCACTTCTCACAAATGTTCACCGGGCGGACGAACGCCGATGCGCCTTCCTTGACCGCGCGGTTATTTCCATCCAGCTCAGTTCAACGCGGAATTTCGGACGATCGAAATAGATGCAACTTGTTGGGATTGAAGGAACAGAGATATCCAAGTGCGAAATGAACGATGTCATTTGTTGAAGATTATTTACTTATCTAAATGTATATGTAAATGCTAAATGGATTAAAAGATTCTCTAAATATTGCGGAATATAGATTGGAAACACTACTGCTATGTATCACCAAATTCCTTCAGGCGCATTAAAATTGAACTACATTAAGAAGCTCTAATATGGATTGCATTTTGGAACTAATATATTGTGATAAAATAAATCAGCAATGTATAGGAGCAGAGTTTTTCTCTAGCTCTGTGATAAAATCTTTGGACTTGCAATAACAAGATTCCACATGAGATCTCTACTGAGATCCTATTAGGTGCGCAACTAAGTTCTCGCTGTTTTTTTATAGAAATGTAACTTTATTATATAAAACCTTTTACATCTGATTCATTCAAAGTATTGCCCATCACCAGACACATCTTTTGCCCATCTTTCTAGCAGAGCTCTAATATCAAGCAGTAGTGATTTCTGTTTTTGCTTGAAAATATAGATCCAGATATGGTTTTAAGTGAAAATAGCCTCTTCGGACAATTCTGCTATATTTATAGGATTAGCAATTAAGTAATTGGGGATATGACTCCAAGGTGAGTTTAGTTGAATGTTTAGATTTGCTGATGTAGGCCAAATGTAAAATACGTATTACAATAACCTTTGTTATTGGATATTTAGCCAATTCAGCAAATCGATCGCATCATCGTTAGAAATATCTAATAATAATCTCATCTGAAATAAAAAGAACTATCTCCTCTAATAATCCTATGTTAATGAGATATTGTACATGAATCTGTGCTGTTGAATTTATATTATTATTGAATTAAATTAAAATAATTTACCCTAGACTTTAGAATCAAAGGAGCTTTTGTAATTTTCTCACAATACAATATGTTTTTTAATATTTGTCATTTTTGTAAAATAAATTTGTATTGAAATTTTTCAATAGAACACTTATTTCAGTACGAAAATCATTGATTAATTTTCTTTTTATTAGCAAACCTGAATCAGTCAAAATAAATGTTAATTCAACTCCTAATCTATAGAAGTTCTGTGCAAATGTATAACGTTTAAATGAATATGTATATATTTAAAACATTTTCAATATTTCAAAGAAAAACGCATTATTACTTTTCAGTTTCCAAAACAAAAAACTTTTTTAATATTTCCAATCCCCCAACGACTTCATAAATACATTTATTCTTCAATTACATGTATGGTGAACTTTTGCGTACACTTGATTACATTTTACCATGGAATTTTTTTTAAAGAATAAAGAAGTACTGAAACCTCTGATGGCAACCTGAAAAAAGTTTCTTTTTTCTTTCCACAAACAATTCATTGAACAAATAATAAATTATTCAACCAGCTAATCGTGTATAGTAAACCTATTTGTGTCCGGAAAAAGAGTAATAAAACACGAGCTTTATTGGTTAAAACATGGACTGCAATCCACGGTTTTTCCTAAACACATATTTTATTCAATTTGTAAATAATATAATTAATTAAATTAACAATGGCAAGTAGAAAAACTTTTATGTTGATTTTCTGAGAAAGATTTATTTTTGAGAAAAAAAAATTGCAATCGTTTTTACTGAATTTACAATTATAGAATCGTTTGCAACATATGAATGAACTCAAGTAGCTTACAAAAGTGTAGATTGAAAAATAGAAGTATCAAAATTAACTGAACATTATATTAATATAGATTTTTTTCTAGTTTGAGATCATATTTTTTTATAAAATTTTATGAAGTTTAAAATTTCATTATAGTTACAGAGTAATTCCGTAGATTTTTAAGCGCATCTTTAAGGAAATTTGATCTTTGAATTTTGATCAAAATTAAATTAATAAAAATAAAATAAAATGTCAATAAAATAATGTTTTCGGAGTAAATAAGTGCCCAAAATATTAGACAACTTTTTTAAAGAAAGAAACTTCGGAATTGCTGGCCAAATGTCCTTGGCAAATTGGTTGCTTTCCAATAAAATGACACATACGTGATAAAAAATTGATTTAT